ATGCATAAAACACATATGTATATATTAAAATTATTCAGTATGTACACATTTTTGTCCCTAATTGTAAGCTATATCTCAATTCAAAAGAAATCATAGTGATGAATTACTAACAATAAACAAAGTGTGACTTTGCTATTGAAATTAATGATATATCTATCCATTACTTTATTGGAAGAATGTTCTACTGTGAGAAGATCTTTTATTTTCAGTACTTGGTATTGAACACAGGGCTTTTCATAATTTTTTTTGAGATAGGGTCTTTCTAAATTGCTAAATTGTCTAAGCTGGTCTTGAATTTATGATGTTCTTACCTCAGCCTACAGGCATGTATCACCACACCAGGCTGCTGAGAAGAATTCTTAAATTAAGTATATAAACATTTCTGGACACAAGCACATAAATTTATGAGATCACTTAAAGCTATCAAGTTGGTAACCACTTTTCAAATTGTACCTAAATTACTGTAATTGTTGAAGTTTCTTTTTAGAAACTGTCTTCCTAGATTATGAGATATTAGAGTGAACATGCATAAGGGATCAAGTAATTGTTCTTTGAAGTTACATATATTTTTATGAGATGTAAATAATGCAAGCTATTCTGGGATATACACAGGATATGTAATATGACTACTGACATTTTTCATTATTTTTCAACAGTCAGGTGTGCTTGGCCCAAAAATAATGAGAGTAATTATGTTGTCTGGCTCCAAAAATATTCCTAAGGCTCATTCCAAAGAAAATGTCCTAAAATATGTAGATTTTTGTTAGCAACAATGATTAAAGGTTTGTGGTTCATCAAAGCCTTACAGGTTTGTACAGTCTGAAAAGAAGTTGGCTCTTAGAAGGCAAACAAGTACAAATCCAGAAAAATAAGCAACTTTATATTCATGTCAGCAATTCCAGCAGGAAGTTGCCCTAGGATTAATTTGTTTTTAGGAGTCATCACCACCTTAATTTACTGAAGAGTAGGAAAATAACGAGGAGCTCCATCTCTAGTCCAAAAATGCTTTCATCCCTCTTTCAAAGAGACTAATATTTCCTGTCTTCCACCAGGACGGATAGGGCGGATGGCAGCAAATTGTAAGTCACTTTATCTTCAGTTTTGAAATCATACTTTTATTTAGTAAACCAAATGTGTACTCTTGCTGCTCACATTTTTCATATCTATCCAGTTTTCACTCTTCTACTTGAAGACATATTACAGCCGGCAGAAGAGGCTTCTCTTCTGACCACCTCCCTCCTGGGGAATGTTGAAAGGGTTGTCTGATCAGCCCAGGTCTCAGTTGGTTTATGAAACAGTGATGCTATGCCTACTTTGCGAGATTGTTGAGGAGTGTTTAAAGGAAAATTCTTGGCCAAAGATCAGGGGAGATTCCTTTCTCTTTGTGAGGCCTTCATGTTAATTAATTTTCCCATTTTACAAGCCTGGAGAGAATTTTCAGAATGTCAAGATGAGCCAAAAAGCATTTTTCCACTCATCCTTTAAGTTTCTTCTCTAGGTAATGTCAATTCTTATTCTCACATTTTCTGCATTAGATTTTCCACCAACTTCCTGTTGGGAAGCTTCTTTCTTTGAATTGTCTACAAAAGATTAAAGCAGTGAAGGGGCAGATATGACACAAATGCCTTCTGAGCTGTTTTCCCTAAGGAATACATGATATACCTTCTGCTTTTACACTTCAGTGATAGGCAGAGATGATATCCACCCTCATCTCTTCTTCCTTCAGTGGGGCCCAGAGATCAGGACTTTTCTTTTCTAACAAAAGTATAATAATATACCAGCATTTACATTTAGCTTGACAGAACAAGATATGTTTGGTGAATATTTCATGCTTAATGTAATTTATATAAAGCATTTCTATTGACTGAGAAGAGGTGGATACAATAGTCTTAAAGGTCTAATACATGTTTATTTTAGTCTGTTTGGTTCAGCTACATTAAAGTTTTAATTTTTTAAGCATAATTTATTTAGCTCATCAACTCATGAACCATTATTTACTAGTATTGTTATAAGTATAATAGACATTTGCCTTGTTTTTAAATTTGCTTAATTTACAAATTATAATATCTATTTTTTATTATCTTCGTGAACAATATCAGTTAAGATTGGCTTATTCTACTTGCTCTAACTTAACACCATTCACAAACTGAAACTGGTAGTATTCACCTTAACTTTTCACAACCCTGGGTAGCACTCCTGATGATCATAACATCCAACCAGAATACAATATGCTACTCTGAGCTTCACTGTCTTCCTTCCTGGGAGACTGCAATAAATTTTTCAGTTTCCAATTTTTATAGCTTCTAATGGGCACTAAGAGACATAGTTGGGTTAATTAAAATGGCATACATGTAACTGCTAAGCCTACAGGTAGTGCTATAACTGTAGTCTTTTATTATATTCAAAGCAGCACTTTGATATGTCAACAAGTGTCCTTTGAAACAAGACCAGCTTTTGCCTCTTTGTTTGCCGGATATTTGGTTTGGCTTTCTCATTAACTACAAATTCAATACAATTCTAGAACTATCCCGTTGCTCCTGTAAAACAAACTGTAACTAGTAGAATGCACACAGAATGCATTCACAAGTCAGGGAGTATAAAAATAACATTGGTAAAAAGAAAGCAAGTGAACTGTGAACTGACAGTTGTAAGGCTAACAGCAAGGCATTGTAAATTCCCTAGACAAACTTACCCCTTCATAAAGTTAGGATGTTATATAAGCCTGAAGGCACTTAATCTTGCATATTTATTCTCTAACCATTGCTGATTCTCCTGCATGAACTTGAAAAATAAAAGCCATGACTCAAGTTAAAGAAAATTACCACTTCTTACTCATTGTACAGTTCATCATCCCTGTGGTTACGGTTATCATCACTGCATAATCTTTGCTTCTTTGGGAACATGCGGCCTGCTGGGTTGTCCAGTTATCTGTGTATCAGTGGATGTCGAAGAGCAAGTGCTTTGTATTAGCCGAAGGCCTCCTCAGGGGTTTCCTTGATTCAGCCACACTTGGGTAGAGCTGATTCTTTCCCACAGGAAGTGTGCGAGGCCGCCAGGATTGACTCCAGTTGGATGGCCTCACGGCAATTAGGATATTCTTTGATTGCTAAAGGGCCTTTAAAATTTATGAAGGAATTTGAAGAGAAATTTGAACTACCATTTGTTCTTGTGCTTCAAATTTCTTAGGCCTCAAAAGCCTCAAAAATACTGAACTTTTCTTTCTTGATGCAATACTCCAAATGACCCCAATCTGAAGGATGAAGAGCAATGTCTTTGAGGTCTTTATCACTCAAAATACCACTGAATACTCTGGAGTATTTTTTCATATTAATTGAAACATTTTACACAAAATCAGGCATTTATGAACATAGTTTTTGTTTGCCATTTTAGTACTATTTACTTAATATTTTAAAAATCGATAGAAAAATTTAATTGACATTTATTTTGATCCACTGATTATGTTCCATAGTTAATAAAATAATTGCTCTTCCATAATGAATTGCATTCTAATCCTACTAGTCTCTGTTAACAAACCATGTC